GGGATATGAGGCGTTTCAACATCCGCTGAAGTATCAAATATGGAATTATCTTCAATTATTGGCATCACTTTTACAATCTTTGTCCTTTTGACAATGACATGAAATTTTGTTTTTTTTAAAAATACAATTTAGCCTCTCAGGATATCAAAAGAATAAGCGCATCTAACAAATCCGTTAACTAAATAATTAGATTTAAAGACAACCGCATTGCTGATAAAAATTTAGTCTTTTGATCCGGGGTCTTCATTCACCATAAATTTATAACAATCGACTGAATAATCGATATCTTTTTTGAGATAATGTATTTATATGAATTCCTTAACTAGCTTTTAATGTCATGGTACTCTGGTGTATCGGGAATGAACTTTTGAATGTAATTTATTTAGAAATCGTGAGATGCGGTCTGGTGTGATGTAGGTTTCAGAAAAACATTTTCTTTATCGTGCCAACGTTTCGATCTTTATTGAGATCATCTTCAGGGATCAAAGTGTTTGTCTTCTGTGTAATTGTGCCATTCTTGCGTATCGTATCGAAGACAAACACTTTGAGCCACACATCAGTCTTTTACACAGCACATTCACGCTAATAAATAAATTCGCTCTCATTCTCTTCCAAGAATCCGAACAGGGGGCTCAGATATCGTTAGCGCGCTCAAGTACAATTCTTACATCAGTTAGTATTTCTACACGCTCTTTATATGGAGCCAAAAAATTGCACCCCTCAATCAAGTGCTGAATCTTAACCAAGTCTGGGGTGTGAATGTAATTACCCGAGAATATGGAGTACTCTGGTGTAGTGGAATGAATGTGGGTGTGTAATTTATTAGCGTGAATGAAGTGGTTTATCCCAATTTCCCCGAAGAATATTGACTACTGTGGGGTAGTGTGAATGAATGCATGAGTGTTATTTATTAGGGTGAAAGGTAGTTTATCCTCAATTACCCAAGAAATATCGAGAGTGAATGAAGTTAATTTATTAGCGAGAATAGAAGGGCTTATTCCCAATTACCCCGAGGAATATGAAGTAGTCTGTAGTAGTGTGAATGGATATGAGTATAATTTATTAGCGTGAAAGGTAACTTATACCCAATTAGCCCGAGGAATATCGAGTACCCTGCGGTTGAGTGAATAAATGTTCAAATGTAATTTATTTGCATGAATGGAAAGGTTTATTTCTTACTACTCCGAGGAATATAGAGTACTCTGGGGTAGTACAATTGATTTGTGTTGTGTATATGTAATTTATTAGCGTGAATGGAGGGGAATATTCCAAATTACTCCCTTTTTCTAGTACTCTTCCTTCTTTTTCATTGTATCTTGGCTCTTTTGTATACTTACAATGGCAGGGTTTATCCTCAATTACCCTGAGGAATATCGAGTACTCTGGGGCAATGTGAAAGGTTATGCGCTGCGTATATGTAATTTATTAGCGTGAATGGAGGGGAATATCTCCTACTACTCCCTTATTCTACTGCTGCTTCCTTCACTTTCATTTTAGCCCTTTTGTATACTCACTAAACTAAATACTAACCAAACTGTGGAAATGATAAATGATGGAGTGAGTGTGGTGTTCAATCCTTTTTAAAAAGATAGTTCCTACTCAAAGTAAGTTGTTTTGCAACGATCCGGATTTCGAGCCTTTTACCTCATCATCAGGTTGAAGGACTTCTACAACCACGTCTCTCGACATGAATTGCCAAAGTGAACCCGCTGATACCTCCGCCAACGCGACGTTCCAATTAGCAGCTGATTTTTTTAATGGCGTTCAATTTGAACGTGCGAAACGCGGAAATTATAACACAAATAAATATTGTACTAGTAGATACTTAATATTATTAAATTACTATAAAAATAATAAGGTAGATCAAAATCAAAATAAATGCATTAATAACATAACAGATTTTGATCTACCTCCCATTTTAAATATATACATAAATAATATCAAACATCCAAATAATTTAATTGTTATTATTTTTATAGTAATTTAATAATATTAAGTATCTACTAGTATAATATTTATTTGTGTTATAATTTTCGCGTTTCGCACGTTCAAATTGAACGCCATTAAAAAAATCAGCTGCTAATTGGAACGTCGCGTTGGCGGAGGTTCAGCGGGTTCACTTTGGTAATTCATGTCGAGAGACGTGTTGTAGAAGTCCTTCAACCTGATGATGAGGTAAAAGGCTCGAAATCCGGATCCGTTGCAAAACAACTTACTGTGAGTAGGAACTATCTTTTTAAAAAGGATTAAACTGCTATGTTTTTGTCTTTTTTCTGTGTATTTTTTTAAATCTACAATTGATGAGGCCCTGAGGTACAGAAAGGGCTGGGTATAAGGTACATAAAAGAGAGAATTTTTAACCGTTATATCATCAAATATCACAACTAGGTTGGAGAATCAGTAAACCTTGGACCACACCCCCGATCCCACCAAATATACTGAGATTCTGTAAAAGAAATTAGTAGGTTTAAAACGCGATAAAGATTAGAAAAGAAATGCA